CTGCTCCTGCTGCTGCTGCTATTCCTACTACTACGACGACGACTACCCAACACTACCACTCGAAATTTACCTTTCCAGGTTGTCTCTGGCCAGCTTCGTCCTGCTCGCCGAGCATTCCGAGCTCGGCGCGCACAGCCAGCTTATGCCCTTCCGTCCTTCACTACAGGTACCCGAAGGGTCCCATGTACTGTTATGGGGGATACTTCCCTAAATCATAATCGTAACTCCTAATATAGAAACCCTACATTCTACTATATAGGTACATTGGACCCTTTGGGGCAGGCCTTCTATAGAGGTTTTGGGCTTTTCAGGATACAATTTCTCAAGGTTATGCAAGCACTCCATAAGGTTTGTGGCGCTGTTCTGGCCTTTTGAAGGTTGTGTAACGTTTTTTAACGGGACGTAGTGAGCAGGGTATGACCAGATTTCCAAGCACCGTCAACTTTCAAAAATATGCCCAACGCCCAACAGGTTTCGGGGTTTAGAGATGTCCATGCCAAACAACCCAAGGCCCTACGTCGTGCCGCTCTGCTTTTCCCCGGCTCGGCGTCTCAACATTCTCATGCGCAGCTGCGACTGGGATTTCTGGATGAAGCTGTTAGGTGCAAGAAGGTCTTGAATAGATAATAATGGATATATCGCCCGTTGTCCATGTAATGTACGCACGCGTACGCAATCCTATGTGTCCGCGTACCTACGCATTGTAAGGCCAAAGGCGCGAAATCGGGAGCTCCGCGAAGTGCTGCAGGCTATGTGCTGCTTTCCAATGCTGATGCTGCTCCCGGAGTGGTAAACCTTGCAGACATCGGTTCCCTAGAGGACAGTGTCTGTATGCTCAGTGCTTTACTTTAAAATTTCAGGAGCCCAAAGCCCTCATCCACCCAAGAAGGCTCGTAAATGCGTACGTAAACTGTAGCACTTTCTGACTTCGGGGTTTCTGCTTCGGGTTCCATCTTCAGAAGGCGCTGAGGTTAGCAGTGACAAGGCCTGGTTTAGGGTTTAGGGTTTCGGGTTTAGGGTTTAGGGTTTAGGGTTTAGGGTTTAGGACGGGGCCCGACGTCTCAAGCCCATGCTTGCTTCCGGCTTCGGAGTCATGGTGCAGAGTTTGTGCTGCCCAGTATTTCCAGCCCTGAGCTGTCGTCCTAATATAGGGGCCTAAATAATTGCCCACAGTATTGTGGGGGTTCCTTAAATTTAAACCTTATTCTAATTATTAAGGCCCCTATATTACCCACTCCCAGCCCTAAGCCCTCGACCTTGATCCCTGTTACCCGAAAGAAGCCTTAGACCGGCTTCCCAACCCCCTCTTAGAGGGGTCTGAGTAATGGTCACTATTGCCCCTTAGGCTTCCTGAATAGACTGGTGCGAAGAATACCACGAAATTCTAATTCTCAAGCCCCTCCCTATACCCTGACCCTAAAAATCCTAGGCCCTAAAGCTTTAAACCGAAACCCGGAGGACGCCAATACAGCCAGCGCTCCCTCGCAGCGCAGTGGCCCGGCTCATCCGCAAAGGGGCCTGGCCCTCTTTTCGCAGGCCGCGGCGCCCCTCTTCGAGGCGCTCCGAGCTGGACGGATGTGGGTGTGTGTGTGTGTGTATATCTATATATATATATATATGTGCGTGGCTTGGTTAGGTGTGCTGTCGTTTCTATCATGATTAGTACTAGCCGCTTTCTTCCAATCATCATGTACTATCGCTGGTATGGTAATTATGACGATGTTGTTGTTGATGATGATGCTGATGATGACGGTTACGATGCTGATGATGATGAAAATAGCGAGGGGATGGTAAGTTGTTTGATTTTGTTGCTGTTGCTGTTGCCGTTGATGATGGTGGTCATGATGACCAGGGCGGTGACGATGGGTATCTGACGAGTATGACCTTCAGTCGTTCGTCACCGCCCATCATGTCGTGTTTGATCTTCTCCTGAGGCTTGCTGCAAGCCTTGCATATACATATACATGTCATATATATATATATATATATACGCACATGCACATGCATATGTGTATACACACATATGCTTGTATATCCTTGGACATACATGCAAAAGTACATGCATTCGCAGACGTCTTTACATACATATTGCATGCATGCACACTTGCCTGCATGCAGGCCTACCGACCTTCCTGCCTGCTTGCCTGACTGCCTCTCTACCTGCCTGCCTACCTACGTATACACATGTATATGCACGTACATGTATGTACAGACGGACATACCGCGACGTACAACTCAGTCCGCAAATCTCCTGATGTGGGTCACGATGGTGACGGCAAATCTCAGGATGCCGGTTGATGAGGATGATGTACTCTAAAACCAAGATGATGACGGAAATGGTGTTACGACCGCTGATGTTCACGATGCAATGATTAGTGCAGTGGTGATGAGTCGGTGCATGTGCTGATGATGATGGTGACCATGGTTATGGCGATAGTTTTGACGGTGGTGATGATGATGATGACTACGATGATAATGATGACTATGATGATGTTGCTTATTATTATGATGACCATAGCGACGCTGCTCATGATGATTATGTTGATGCTGGTGATGAAGACAGTAACGATGCTGATGAACATTAACCCTGAACCGCTAAACTGTAAGCCAGTAAAGGTTACACCTCATGAACGATTTGCTGGCTAGGTCATCTCGGCGCAATCGCCGAAGGCGCTGTCCACCCTTAGTGGTTCGTCCTGTCGCTGGCATCCGGAATCTTGAGCTTTTCGTTAACATTCCGATTTGACTTTGGGGTTTGTCTTGTTACTCACGGGTGGTTTGTCGTGAATTATAGTAAGTGTGGAAACATGGCACGCCACAGTCGCAGTGCGATCAGACTTATGCTTTCTCCCGCCATAAGTCGAGTCAGACGTGCTTTGGTTGCTTTGCCGAGCAGTGCTAGCATGTGCTAGCCATGGAAACCCGATCTGTACCCACACCCGCATACAGTTAAGATGCTGGTCGAAGTTGATTTAAAATCCCCAGCTGGTCTAGGGAACCCTGTATAGAAAGCAGCTCTAGACCTACCTTCGGCTTGCTTAGTTCGTCCGCAGGTCTTCTTGCAACATGTTTCGCAGGCTCTCGCCGTAAGCATGTCAGTTGTGTTGGCACTGCGGCGTCATAAACTCCAAACCCTTCTACAAATCCCAAACCCTAGACCCTATAATATGTGGTGTAGTTGGGCGCCAGAGCTGCTCGGCAGATGCAAAGTGTCAACTCAACTCAAAAACCATAATTCATTAGTCGCAAAGCAAGCATCCCGAATCATAAAAGCCCACAGGGTGCTTCAGCAACAAGGGTCAGAACCTCGAGCAATAATATTAGTATGCCCTGATAGCCCTTATAGTTATCGGATGTTAGAGGTATACTATGCAATATGTTAATGCACACCCAAACCCTCCTGCAGGTATTGACACCCCGCCATACTGTCTCCTATAGGAGCGTTTGATTATCATGCGGGGCCTCCTTTGGGAAAGTTCTCTGAAGCCTCAAGACCTAAACCCTAAACCCCCACACCCCTAAACCCTAAACCCCTAAACCCTGACCCTAAATCCCTAAGCCCTAGATCATGAACCCCTAGACCCCACGAAGTATCCGAAGATCAGGAGAGGACCTTCCAGAAACTCTTGGAAACCCTGACCTCCTGTCCGAACATCGAGCAAGAGGCAATCGTGGGGCTTCAGGGGTTGGGGAGGTTTGGGTTGGGGTTTAGGGTTTA